CACTACCAGATTTTTCCTGTCTCAGCAGAGGCTGGAAGACCCAGAAAGGGGAGGGAGAAGGAGTATTCCCCAGGGTGTTGTCCTTAAGTGCTTTGTCTGTAGATACTATGTTTAAATTGCTTGTACTCAAGGAAGGAAGAGAGAGGACATAAATATCAAAACATTTAAATAGCTATTCCCTGAAGATACTTTGTTTTAGTATAGTGGTGTTATCAGTGTAATTTTTCTTTTCATTCATTGCTTATACTATGGAAGTTTCTGAAACACTTCACTTAATTGTACTAAGATATCAGTCATCATTTTCCAGTTAAAGTTGTAGGAGGCTTTCATTTTGAAACACCATTATAACTTTCAAAATAATTCCTTTTAAGCTGATGTTTAGTGTCAACCCAAGCATGACTCATATAGTTAAGTTGGAGAAAATCACCTTAGCCATTTCTGCATTACAGGAGTCTGACAAGAGGTTTTTTCTTTTTTAAAAATGACATTTTTCATAGCTTTAAAATCCAACCCCCACACGTTTTAGTTGCAGCTATCTGGTAGCTTACCTCAAGAAATACAGAAAGAACGAGTTAGACAACCAAAGCACTAATCTAGGGCCGCGATGCCGCCGCGATCAACGTTTATGGGTTTCTTTGGTGATGCTGAGCAGGCCGGCAAGCTGCGTTTAGGCTGAAGGCGTGCACGGGCCTGCAGGCCTGGGCCGTGCAGACCACGAGCGGCCTCCCTGCTCACTAACACGTGTCTGTGCCCGCGTCTGGGAGAGCCCCGGGCTGGGAGCAAACACACTGCCATCTCTGTAACAGCTACCCGACTGTCTGCACCAACGGGGCATCCCGACACGGCGGCCGGCCTAGTGGTTGTCTCCTGGCACGTCTCCTGCGGCCTGGCAGAAGCAGAGAGGCTGGCTGGGATCACGAGCGCTCGTCTGTGCCAAAGGACACCATGGAGGGGTATAGGAGAGGAGAGAGATGTGTTTTGTGTTAATATGTTTGAGTTTGGGAACTAAAACCTCAGCTGAAGGCAGTAAGGTAGGAAAAAGTATTCATTAAAAGTGCCATATATGCTTCCGAGCAAAAACCTGAAATCTTTATTAGCTTCAGGGATGCCTCTGAGCATGAAGGAATAAGGAGAAGTAAAATGGGAAGAAACCTGAAAGACAGTGGGCTTTTTCAGTTCCTAATCTGCAAAATATATTCTTTCTCTCCATTCCTCTGCTCTCTTTTGCTCAGGAACTGCATCTATAGAACACAGCAGGGATTTCATCTCAGCTGGTGCTTCAAGAAACCACACATTTACTTAAAGACATTGTGCTCCACAGCAGGGACAAAGCAGTAAACAAAACTTTTTCTATCAGCAAACATCAACTGTCTGGAGTGCTTTTGTCTATCTCCAAGTTATCCCAAGACATCCAGCTCTTGTCTGCTAAACTGGATAGCCCATTGGATCCAGTCACACTCAGGGACTTGGGACCTTACGTGCAGTTTTATAACTAGTTCAGCCAGCTGAGCAAAGGGATCATCAAAGGTGCTAGATTCTCTAATCACACAGACATCCAGCAAGAGATCACATTAAAACCCAGCTTATGGCAAACAGTTCAATTGCCAGAAGAACAGTGAAGCTTATTGTACAGGAGAGAGGGCTGCTTGGGGGTAAAGATCCAAACACGTTAACTCCCCGTAAATGAAGGGCCACCCTGACATGACTGCCAGTACCAAAGGATTCCTCTCCAGTGTCTGAAACAAGAACAAGAAACTGAAACAAGAACAGAGCCCAACATTTCTACTCCAGTGTCTCACTAGCACCCATTAGCTTCATCCCGTCCATTCACTAACTGCAAGTTACAAGCCAGTTAAATACTGACAGAAAAAGTGAACTAATTAAAATGTAATTCTACCTACAAAGTACACTGAGCCCAGTAAAAAGCAGTTTCATTTGTGTGCTTCAAAAACAGCGTAAGTGATCCCTGCATCACGATACATTAAATTTGTTTGTGGGTTGCAGAAGGCTCAAGAAGTTTTAAAACTCTTAGCTGTTAGATTTTCTATTACTCTGTGACTTTACTCTCAGTGAAGAGCAAATCCTCTTCCTGTTTTTCCCATTTTATTAACCAAATAGAACATGCAGTGCAGTAAGTTTTTGGACACAGAATCCAAAATTTGGCTTTCTTATTACCCTTTTCTTCCTTTTGTTAAAGTTGATAGAGCTGTACTTGTTAATTCTCAGTTTGCCTCATTTGTTTTCGAGATATTTGAGAAGGTTGGGAGACTAGACGCATTCATTTCAAAGTTCCCAAAATAGCTATAAACACTTCACCACTTTTACCACCTAAATATTGCAGATGTATTTGTCTTTCCCACGTGAGAACAAACACAAAGAAAAGAAAAAGAACTATGGAAAAAAAAAATCAGGTTCAATCCACAAAAATTAAATGTCATGCCTGGTAACCTTGAATTCTACCAAATCTGGCCCTGCTGCTTTCTCTTAACTATGGTTGGAGGAGGAACTGGTATCTTCTTCTGCATCTATAGAAGCCACTAATCACTTCAGCTGCAAATAGAGAGTTAGTGAAATGAAGATGATGAAAAAGGTCATCCTGAAAGGTTTCTGGTGATAACTGACTACATGAACTACCTTTGTGGTAATGCAGATAAAACAGACCATTTCACACAATTCCCTAGGTTGGAGAATAGTCTTATTTTGAGCTTTTTGAGGCAGTAAGGCCTCAAGATAGTATATATTTTTGGAATATGTTAGTTTAGCTGTTTACCTTTAGCTATCTTTGTAAGGTAATCATTAGAGATTAAGCATAAAACAGATATTTTTATGAGGAGTTTGACATAATACTTCAGAAAATCATGAGTTCGTTAAGTCTTGGACACTCTCTAGTGTATTAGACAACAGTGATGATTTACATTATTTTGAAGTTGCAACTAAATTTTCAAGGGTAATGCATTTCATCTGTGGAGATAAGAAGATAAAGACACTTCCTTCATTAATGCCTCTCTGTCTGTTTACTTCTTTTCTTGGCATACTGCATTTAATAAAAACGGGTAAGACAGAGGATGCTGGTGTATTTTTATGTTAATTAGTGTATTTTAATTTCAAATAGCACTTTGTGGAGCTCAGATAGCTTCCCCAAAAATGGTGTCAGTGCAAAACTAATGAATTTTAATTCTTTTCAGTATGTTTCTGCTTTCATGAATTCTTTTTGTTATATTCTGATGCAGCAGAATGCACCAGTAGGCACTCAGAGGGTGCACCCCACAGATCTGATTTTTTCAGAAATCTAATTTAGCGGTTTTAGATGTATAAGGAAGATCACCTCATAATCACATTGTTTTTAATGACCAAATGCATAATAACTAGAAAAATATCTGTCTCAGAAAGATGGACCAATCTTTTTTTTGAAGATTCTTTAAAACAACACATTTTAGGAAGCTTTTTGCATCCATGATATGTTTAACTCATTTGTGGCTAGATCATGCTGTCCTCACACAAATGCTAAGGGTGCAGAGCTGTACTTGAGCTCCCAACTCATTAGTGGTAACACAGTTCAGGCCAGTGAATCCACGGAGCAGAATTTGCCTGGGACTCTACGCCAGGGCCAAGGCCTCCAGGAGCAGCTGCCTGCCCCTGTTCTAATGCAAAGGATGAACGAGGCATAGCCTTTTTTTTTTTTTTTTTTAACAACATGGTCCAGGCTCACACATGGCACTGCTAGAATCCCAGCCAATTTTAACACGTGTTCTTCGCTCCTGGCCCTGCAGGCACCGCTGCAATCGGCTCGTGCGCTGCGTGCATGCGTGAGATGGAAAAGTCATCCATTTCTGCCTAAGAGAAACCTCTAATAATAATAATAAATCAACACTACAACACTCTACAGATACCCATGTTGTGATGTGCTGGGTACTCACTGATACCGAGCAAGGACATTCTTATCACATTACAGCCTTTCTTGTTTGTAGCCTACTCAAACCTTCATTTTTGACCAAACGAGCTACATCTTAAAGCAAAAGTTTGCTTTAGTGCCTGATAATTCTTATATATAATGCTTATAAGCACCAAAGTGAAGCACACTGATTTTTCTTCCAAATTCTTCCTTTTGGTGGGACAAGGAAATAACAATCTGAAGAAGCTAGTGGGAATTTACAGATCAGCTCCAGTTGAGCAGAATATAAATTCTGGATAAAACTGTGAGATGGAAAAGTCATCCATTTCTGCCTAAGAGAAACCTCTCATAGGTAGAGAGGAACTACAGAAAACTTCTGTAGCTGAGAGGAAGCACAAAACTAGAATATTGCTGTCCATCTATATAGGGCAATAGTGGTAAACATTTTATTGGGACAGAATGTATATTTTTAAGCTCTTACAGTTTAGGAGTTTTAGAAGCCATTAGACCCGCCCTCTCCTCCCCCAAAACCATAGCAAATTTAACATTTTTTTCTTATGAGTTTCCAATTATTTATCATTCTAAACTTAGCTTGGTAAAACCAAGCATCTTCTCCAGTGCTCCTGAACTGACATTGTGATGGATTATCATTTAATACACTAAAAGTCTGAATGTTGAAGTAGTGTCATTTCTTTCAAACTAAGAGATAATAAAAGGAATTACAGTAGTGCTGAGATAATCTACTCTTGATATAAGTTTGCAGTTTGCTGTTCCCGCACGAAACATGAAAGTAAGAAAGACAACTCATCATCTCAGTTTAGTGCCTGGGATCTTTATAACAGATGAATAAGTAAGATGAATGGAACCACTTGTTTAAATTGACACATGAACTCAATACAGAAAGTAATATGGTTTGTGGGTAAGCACTTATCTATACCAGGACTTCATCAGACAGTCAAATCAACATTAGGTTTCAGTTTCCTTAATAATCAAAAAATAAACTATTATTTTTAGCCAAGCATCTTGATTTTTATGGTAAACTCCGTGAAACGACTTTATCAATGAACCAGAGCATCAGATAGTAACTCTTACGTTACTGTTGCAGGTACCTAGGAATAACCAGACCGCTCACGTATCCTGTGAGGCAGAACGGGAGGTGCATGGCCAAGATGATCCTGTGCGTGTGGCTCTTATCCGCCTCCATCACGCTGCCGCCGCTCTTCGGCTGGGCCCAGAACGTCAACGATGAAAAGGTTTGCTTGATCAGCCAAGACTTTGGCTACACCATTTACTCCACTGCAGTCGCCTTTTACATTCCCATGTCGGTGATGCTTTTCATGTACTACCAGATTTACAAAGCTGCTAAGAGGAGTGCTGCCAAACACAAGTTTGCTGGTTTTCCCCGGGCAGAAGAAATAGAAGGAATATCTGTGAATGGAGTTATTAAACTGCACAAAGAATCTGAAGAATGTGCTAATTTTTCACGACTCCTTAAGCATGAGAAGAAAAATATTTCCATTTTTAAAAGAGAACAGAAAGCTGCCACTACCCTTGGAATTATCGTTGGGGCTTTCACTGTGTGCTGGCTGCCATTTTTCCTGCTCTCAACTGCCAGGCCCTTCATCTGTGGCACAGCGTGCAGCTGTATCCCGCTGTGGGTTGAAAGAACATTTCTATGGTTGGGTTATGCCAACTCTCTCATCAACCCTTTTATATACGCCTTCTTCAATCGGGACCTGAGGACAACGTACCGCAACCTCCTGCAGTGCCGGTACCGGAACATCAACCGGAAGCTCTCGGCCGCGGGCATGCATGAGGCTCTGAAGCTTGCAGAAAAGCCAGAATTTGTCCTGTGAGGTTGCTTGCCCTTTATTAGGATAATTTATTGTTTTATCACATTAACTTGTTTCTGCAAATTTGAAAGAAGGGTTATTGGAAGAAAAAGCATTCCTGAGTGCTCTTAACACAGTCATCAAGAAACGGGAAGGTAGGAGGTAAATTCCTGCACAAGGCATGGGCCGTAATGAACCTGGAGAAAGCAGAAGATCATCTAATGCATCTGGGTGTAAGGAAAGGCCACTTGAGTACTGGATACCGGGGAGGGGAAGGAGGAAAGGTGCTGCAGGGTGTCTGAGTGAGGAAAGAGGCATGTTGGCCTGACCCTTTTGTTTGGTCCTTGGCCCCAAACAACTCCTAGTAGCTCTCGATATTGGATGCATCTTGTATCCTAGAAATTTTTGCTGTAATAAAGACCTGAAAATGCTGAAGAGTTCAGTATAACTCACTGCTTTCCACTTTGTTATTAGAGAAATAAACCATTTAAGATGAAGCTGGATCAGAGAAGTTACATTGCTTTGAAATATTCGTTATTGTAAAAAAAAGTGTCCATTAAACATTAATTTACTGAATTTCCTGGGGATAAACTAATTTGTGAAGTTTGATGTTGTGTTTGTGTACTGAAAGAATACATTACACAAAGCATGTGAATAAGAGATGGAGTGAAGTCTCAGACCAGCTCTTCCCCTGCCCAGAGCCATGCAACACAATTATCTACAGGGCTGCTATAGCAGTTATGCCAGAGAGATGTAGTGTCCTATACTGCTAACTTTAATAAGGGATTACAGCTTATTGCAGTTGTTGTCTAGTCCAAGGCCATCTTCTTTCATTAATTCTCTTGGCTTTATCACTTGGATCCTTCTTTAATCTAGACTCACACTTTTTCCTACACTAATATGTTAGGTTCTTTTGTTGCTACAGCTAGTCTTTGTTCCAATACAGTAGTTAGTTTATTGTATGTTTGAAATTTTAGGGTTTTGTTTGTTTTCCTGAGTCAGCTAGGATTAAAATGAGCACTAGATATTATGAAACTTGTAGTCGTTATCTACACACACTGATTTAGGTCATCACTTCTGCTTAAAAAGATTTTAAAATTTGCCTTGAGTACAGGAACATTCACAGTTTCTAGTTCTAGCTGCTTGCCTGCACACAAGCTCCTCTAACTGTGTGATTCTGCTCCTCTTCACATGGGCAACAAAGCTCTTCCCACAGCTGAGCAGGATCTCCTAACAGTATTGCTTATTTACAACTTGCAACAAGAACCTAACCTGTAACAACTCATACCAATGTGATGATTTCTGTGGAGTGAGCTTGCACCACACACCATGTTCCAGATGCACAGGCTACACTAGTGAGCTCAGTTTTCCACATCTACATTTTCAGCTCTTGCAGTATTGCTGAGAAAAAAATGCTCATTATGCTATAAAGTAGCTTCTGCCATTACTAACCAGTACAGTAGGGCATTTTATATGTTGTTTCCTCAATCACACTTCAACAAATCCCACTTTAGGCTAAGTCTTGTCCTCATGACTTATTTAGCTACATTCAGTGATGTTAATTCAGGCTAAATAGCGAGAGGTTTGCACCACACGGTGTGTTTGAAGCACACACAGATCTTTGCAAAGGCTCGAGCTTGTAAGCAGAGGCTACCAGATACGCGATAGCAGCATCTATGTGCTGAGCTGCACACCCCAAAACAAGCTCAGAGAGATTCATACACTGGAATACACGTACTACAAAGTATCTGGGGGCTCTTATTTTGCGAGGGACAATTTTGTAATGGTAAGAGATAAACTATATCCCAGTTTCATTTTTTTAAAGAAAGAGGCACAATTTTGTAATGGTAAGAGATATACTATATCCCAGATATAGAGATATATCCCAGTTTCATTTTTTTAAAGAAAGTTTCAAATTGAAGTATTTTAATTTCTTTTCAATATTCCAGATATATTATGTGCAGAAGAAAGATAAGAGAATATCTGCAGCTCTACAGAACACAGAGTAAAGCTAATGTTACTACGAGGATGTTTTCTGTAGTCAGCATGAAATGACTGATGTTTCTGAATTTAAATTACCTGTCAGAAAGGCACTTTCAGGATTCCTAATGCAAGGGAGCAATTTTCACAGTTTTTCTGTGAGATAAATGTGAGATAATTTTTTTCTATGAGATAAATAAGATTTTTCAAGAGAGAATAAGCAAATTAAAATATTTACAAAGGCTCCAAGTAGGATTTTAAAATTCTGCAGCTGATTTCAAAATTCTGTGCAGAAATTTCAACTGTTATTATCCTGCAGGAAATGGTGGGAAGTTGTGTTTGCTGCATTGCTCCAAGTTAGAACTTTTTTTTTTTTTAAAATATGGAAAAGTGTTTTGTGACTCAGAAATTCTGACATTTGCCCAAATGTCATTAGAGGCAATTATTTCCATCAGAGGGAGCATCTTGCAAGACTCCTCTCCTTTACCATCTGTTTCAGATGAGGACATCCCTGGAAAGAACAGGAATTGTTACGGGTTACGTCAGGGCCTCCTGAAGACTGTGGGGTAAACAGACAACTTTCATCTCTGGATATGTTAAAAAGAAAAAGTCAAGCTTCTTTATTTAGACCAAACAAACACAGCTACACAGCAAATGGAAGGGCTGTTGTTGGTTGGAGGTCGTTTTAAGGGGGAAAACAAACAGTAAATTTTAGAAGAGAGCAATGAATTCCCACCTTCCCTCGGCACACGGGAAATGTGCGCTAGGAAGATGAGCAAGCTTCAGACTGGAAGAAGCTTGGTTAAGCAGCCTAAGGAAATAACTGCTCCAGTTCAAGCTAAAATGCCCAACTTCAGCAATTACATGTTCTTTTGTTAGATAATTCACCACTCATCTGGCAAAGGGCTAAAACGTATGAATAAGAAGTCTCCTTCACATACACAGTCTGGCATTCCCTAGCACCAAGTCCTAGGAGAGCTCACACCCTCCGTCTCTAGGAGAACGTGAAGGAGGCAATCAGAGAGAAATGGTGATTAAAACTCCCAGAACCCGTCAGAGCACAGGGAGGCCAGCATAAGAGCAACCAAAAGGAGGAGGAAAGGCAAGAAATCAGAAACAGTTCTAAGTTTTAGATGTGCAACTGAGTCATTTTTGAGGTGACATGCAGAAAAGCAGAGGGAACAAGGGCTATGACTACTCGCTCCCTAGGAGTCCTGGAAAATTTCAGCCACCTCTTTAGCTACTGTCTGAGATGTGAGAAGTCCCCTGTTAATCACAGGGCATAAAAGGCTCTTGAAATGCTGCACAGTTTCAGCTTTTCTATCAAGGTGTCTGTTGCTTTGCACAACGCGTGTGTGTTTGACAGAAAGGTCCTCAGGATCACAGGGCAACACAATCCAGTAAACAAAAAAAATCATGAAAAAGACTATCCTGGGGAGCAGGTTTGCCTTTAACTACACTGAAGAACTGGTCTTGTCCCAGCTGAGTTTTTTGTCTGAGAAAACTGATGACAGCATTTGTTATTACTGACTGTGCCTGTGTTCAGCATTTCTGATTAGAAAGCTTAGTCTCACTGCTATGCTTTCCAGACCATCTTTCCAATTTCTGTAGTTCTGCCTCTGGTTCCAAAGTTGATTTCTAGCACCTATAACATGACCTCTGGTTGGTGATGGTGGTGTGCAAATGAACTGAATTCTGCTTCCATTGACTAGACTGACAGGTTTGTGAAATAGCTGTACTTAGCTCACACTCATACTGTGCTTCTCACTGCTTTCCATTGTCTCACAAGGCTGTTCACCCCTTGACTTCCTCTATAGCTCTTGAGTAAGGATTTACTTCTGCTTATCCAGGGAGGGAAGGAGTCATCACAATATATTTTTAGGTTAGGACTTTTTTGCTTGGGACCTCTCCAGTTGAAATTTCTTGGAAAATGCAGCCAGCTTTACTGTAATGAGTCAGAGGAATCAGAAGAGTTACAACTATAAATAATGAATACTAATCATTATAGAGATTATTTACACAAATCCTAATTTTGCAGTGATGATACCACAGTGAATAATAAAAATGTAATACTGTAGTGAAAGAAACGAGGCCTCCTTGACTCCTCCTCTGTTCACCTACAAAGTGGTCTGTAAAGATGCTCAAGAGCAGCTATTGAGCAAACCAGTTCCCTAAAAGTAATTGTAAGCACATCTGTGTGCCAGAGATCCTTCCCTAAGCCTAGCTCTCAGCATCACAAACACACTTTATTAAAGATAAACATATTAGCAAAAAAAAAGACCGAAACAACAACAACAAAAAAAAAACCACAAAACTGCCCAGCTGCAGACAAAAAAGCCAAAAGGCAAAAGTCTGAACAGGATGGGAAAAGGCAGTCCTCCACATCACTCCCGGTATGGTGTTGGCACTACCTTTTCTGGAAGTTACCGCAGAAGTGCCGCTATGGACCTTCCTTCTTACTTGAAGCAGCCCTTTTGCAGCCCTCCT